TTTAAACTTCATAATAAGAAGAAAAAAAAAAAAAGAAGGAAAAAGAAACAGAAAGCATATAGTAAATAAAAGTGAAAGAAAAAAAAAAAAATAATAAAATAAAGGAAAAGAGAAGTAAACGAATAACATACATACTCGTATTTATCATCTAAAAAAAAAAGACAATAAACACACACTCTTTTACTTCATTTTTTCTCTTTTACTTTATTTTTTTTTTCTCTTTCTTTCTTTTTTTTTATTTTCATTTTTTTTTTTTAACTTTCTCCTGTCACTACTATCAAAATTCCAACATCACAACAACAAAGCACTATCGAAGAAAAAATCAACGTACACGACCACAAAGTTAAATAAATATATAAATAAATAAATAAATAAATAAAAAAAGGACAAACATCAGAGGACACTTTAGGAGAAAAAAAAAAAAAAAGCCACACACACACACACACACCCCTACACAAAGATCAACAGAGACGACATCTACATCCGTATCTAATTTAGTAATAAAAACAACAGAAATAAGAAGCTGTCCGTATTCTTTTTTATCTTTTCTCTTTTTCTTCCTTTTCTTATTATTATTATTATTATTATTATTATTATTATTATTACTACCACTCTTGGATTATTGACCCACCCCAAGAAAGGAATTCCTCTCCATTCGAAGAAAGTCATAAAATTCCATCGCAACCCGTTCTTCTTCGGCTACAATATCCAAGAAATCCCTGTAAAGAAGCAGGAGACGCACTTCCCCCTCATATCGTGTGGCTGCAATACTTTTCTCTTCTACCATTTGTGCAACCAAATTACGCTGACGAAATACACACAATGAACCCAAGCGAGAGTCTCTTCTCAGGAATGTGGAGGGTATCGTACTCACCCACAGTTTACTTCGCTCGACCAAGTGTGCAAGGCCATTAAACCTAGCAGACTCCGACACAACAATCTCCTTACGGGCAAAATACTCCATACGCAGAATAAGCAGAAGATACTTCATAGAGGAAGAAAAACACATGGGGTAAATAGAACGAGATGGTGGCAACCCGCAAAGTCCAACATCTCGTGAATTCATGAGTTCTGAGCTGCTTGGATATTGTACAATTGCTTTTGTGGGAGTGGCCAGTGTCTTTGGTTGTGATGTGGTGGAGAGACAGGCGTTGTGTCCCCAGGGGAGACTACAGGCGGATGAATACATCAGAGAGGCGTCAGGGGCGGAGGAGGAGGCGCCAAGTAAGGCATCACTGCAGAGAGATGCAGAATACATGGAATCCTCATCAATGAAATTGGGGCCGTTGTTACCAGGAGTGTTGGCGGTATTATTATTATTATTATTATTATTATTAATATTCGCATTGCTGCTGTTGTTGTTGTTGTAGGGACCAGTGAGAGAGGATGTGCTGCCGTATGGAATACGTTTACTGTGAGATGCCACCATCGCACTTTTTGGGTGAAGAAGATCATAAGTGGCAAATAAAGCATCCGCACGTGGTGGAGTGCGGCGATCACCTAAACGAGATCGTATTGTCATTGGTACATTACGTAAAGAACGTAGATAAGATGTCCACTGTGTCCAGTTACTACCATAAGAAGTTAAACTACCACCATTCTTAATACTACTACTACCATCAATACTTGGTAACATGGAAACGGAAGCATTATTTTTCGAATAAGCGGAGAAGAGAACATCTCTCCAAATAGCGTAGCGTATATGATGGGAAAAACGTGTTAATAAATAAATACGTGAGGCAGTCATCACACGTTGATATTCTTGTATTTTTTTATGATCTACCACTTTCACTTGTTCTTTTCCCACATTACTACCACTAGTATTATTATTATTATTATTATTATTATTATTATTGTTCAAATGGGTTTCACGTTCCACAAGGGTATTATCTTTATTACTCCCTCGTTGTCTCCGCCATGGACGCACCATTTGCCGCCAACTCCATCGTGTATTATCTTTTGCAGGTTTCTTTGGTATCAGCATCTCTGGTAATTGGGTATCATCATATGCTGTGAAGGGCTCATCCACATCATTCCAAAGAAGAAAGTCTAGAAAGGTTTCAATCATGGTAGAAACAATAGAAAAAAAATTGGAATTATAACTGAGACTCTGCCGCATAATACGCCATCTTGCGGTATTTTCATCCATAAAAAGTGTATAGAAATCCACGGCGTGTTCTCTCCATATTTCCACTCGACATTCCATCTCTCGTGAGAATAAATTAAATAATAATGCCTGACGGTGTTGTCTGCTAAAAGTACTCTCTTTACAAAACGTTGGGAATCTCAATAAAGGTTTCTTTTCCCCCGTCTGTTTACAATCAAGGGGTACTAATTCCACACTCTTAGCGGGTACAACCTCCTCTGCATGGAGAATAGGAGTTTCTGCCAACGCTATTTTTAATGGAGATGCTTCCCTACCTCCCAAGAGAACTGAATTCCGTTTCACACTTACTACTCCTACGCCTCTACTACCATTTCCTTCTTCCTTCTCTTCTTCTTGTAAAGTTACGGTTTGAATGACCTGCCCGGTTTCAAATTTTGGAAAGGGATAATTATGGCCAGTATCGTGTTCGCCTTGTTTACTTTCTTTTCCTTCTGTACTACTCACAATAAAACTCCTACTGTTTTCCAGTGGTGGTAATACGATTTCCTCTACTTCTGTCTCTCGCTTATTACGCAAATAGGACCAACTCTTTCCACCGGAGGAATCAGACCTCAGACTCACCGCGTTAATTCGCATATCGTGTGAAGGTCTGGATGACATGAGTTACTCACAGAGAGAAGAAGAAAAGAAAAAAAAAAAAAAACAAAAGAAGAGAGATAGAGAGATAGAGACAGTGAGAGAGAGAAATACTGAACTTAATCGGAATGATACGATTAATAAATGCCCCCCTCTCTCTCTCTCTCTCTTTGTGATCTGTTAAAGAGAAAATAAAAAAGAAAAAACAAACGGTAAGAACTTCTTTCTTTCCCGATCTTCCACATACAATAAATAAAAGTAAAAAAAAAAAAA